GAATTTGTGCTTTATTGAGGATTGGAACTTTGCAAACCAAGCATGGTGGATCACACCTGCACCCACAGTCCCAGCACACAGGAGGCTGACCTAAGTTTAAGACCAACCAGGCCAAACAAACAAACCCACTACGTGAGACCCTGTCTTAAGTACAAAAGGCCCGTGAGAGAGTAGATGTTAATTAACATATTCCCAAATCCCTTTGTTTACTAAGGAAATTAAAAAGTATTTAGGAGTGAACAATAACACCCATGGTGCATATCACTTATACACAGGAACACACATAAAATCTGCGAGAAACTAAAAATGGGCACCAATATCAGCTTCATGTTACATACCAGGGTGGCGTAAGCATATAATCCCAAAGCTTGTAAGGGGAAGGACTGCAGGACCAGAAGTTCCAGATCACCTTGAACTAAATAAGTTCAAGGCTAGCCTAGCCTACATGAAACCCTGTGTCAACATAAAACAACAAAACTACATAAAACACATAAACCATTCAAAGCAAACTGGCACAAGAAAATTATGTAATACTTCAAGCCAACAAGACTAAGGATCTTCTCACCAGCAAGAAAAAAGAGAGCAAGCCAAGGCTAAGCCTGTGAAGAAACTATCCTCGTAAGAGTAAAGGTACAAAGGCCAGCAGGCATTGGAGGAGATGCTCAAATCTAACTGTAACCTGAGAAATGCAATCATCTTGCAAAATGTATTCTCATGAAACACCCAGCAGGCTGCCTGTGTCAAGAGGCCAGTGGTGATAAGGACACTTCCCTGCTCGGCTGTTTATGCAGTGATTGAGGGAAAAAGAGGAAAGTGGTATATGAACACCCACTTCTGGTATATCCTAGCTAAATATAATGAAAATCTCCACCCTCCAGTAAATAAGGAGGATTCATTTTTTTGTGATGATGGCTTTGGGAAAAGGAGCATCCCTCCTGAAACTAAGGGAGTGCACAACCTGCAGGGAGGCACACCAAGGAGTATCACACAGTTAGAAGAATTGATTGGATGCACTCAGTGCAGCTGGGCAGTGGTGATGTGCACACCTTTAATCCCAGCACTCGGGAGGCAGAGGCAGGGGAATCTCAGTGAGTTCAAGGCCAGCCTGGTCTGCAGAGTCAGTTCTGAGACCCTGTACAAAAAAAAAAATTTAAAAACTGAGCTGGACACATGGCTCAGCAGTTAAGAACACTGGCTGCTCCTCCAGAGGACCCAAGTTCAATTCCCAGCACCTATGTGATAGCTCACAACTGTCTGTAACTCCAGTTCCAAAGGATCTGACATCCTCACACATACATACATACCCGCAAAATACCAATGCATGTGAAATTTAAAAAATAAATAAAAACATTTCCGGATCTACACGTGCACAGGGATTGGTCCTAAAAGCACATATATATATAAAAGTGATATATGTATATATCACTGTATATGATATATACACATATATACATATAATATATATGATATATATACATATAATAAGATATTACCACACCCTCAAAATACACGTGTATACAAAACAGTACACATCTCCAGATCTCCAGGGATCACACACAAGATCAGAAAAGCACTAACCTTAGGACGGCGGCCTATGGGAAGCTTGCGGAATGAAAGTGAAAAGTCGGGGTTCACAGGAATGGGAAATTCTTAAAAACCATGTGGGAAGGGCTACAAAGTTCCCAGGCTTAGCGCTCCAAGCTAACCCAAAGTTGCAGTCTCTCCCAACTCCGCGTAAACTGGGAGATCTTGTGCGCAATGTCGTAACTCTGCCTGATTCTTCATTCACAAAGAAGTAGGGATTATCCCTCCCCTACGGTAGTTGTGGATACGGGGTCGCTGTGGATAGTAATAAGATGGATACAGGGGTAGTAATAAGATAGATAATAAGACAGGCTCGAAGGCCAACCGCTTATGTGTTTGTTCCTTTTCGGCTCCCTCCTCCCGATTCAAAGCTTGGCTTCTCTGACGGCTCCCTCCTCCCGATTCAAAGCTTGGCTTCTCTGATGAGCCGTTCAGGCGATTCCAGCCCCTCTCCCCCAGGCTGGGCACAAAGCACCTACCTTTCCCACTTCAGTACCCATCCTCCGCATAGCAGTCCCGCTGGCAGTCACTTCTGCCTCCTTCTTTAGCCTGGAATGCCACAGACACACGGCGCTGTAACGCAGAGGTGTGTGGCACAAGGCAGGCTAGAGATGGCATTAAACACCAGATATGGAAGGGAAAACCCAAGCGACCAAGAGCCAGGCCCAGTGGGTGACGGTGCGCACGCTCAGTGCGTGTGAGTCAACGCCTCCCGCCCTTGTTGCCCCTGCAGTGGGGGGCGGGGCAGGACCAGCCTCGCTCTGGTTGAGGTTATTCGACGCCCCATTGGCTACCTGCCTCCAGAGTGAAGAACAGTCTGGCAAGGGAAGAAGAGAGGCAATGTGTGTGCGACTCAACTCGACGCTCTATTGGCTGGTGAGACTGTTACCATGGAGAAGCAGACAGGAAGGGAAGGGGCGGGCCCTCGGTGGAGGATCTCGAACCCTATTGGTTGCCCAGCACAGCCTTGGGCGCTGTCCTCGAAGCTTATTGGTCCTTGCGGGAAGGCGCGGGGAAAAGCAGCTCGAGCTGGCCGTTCCTCTTCGCCACTTTGTCGCCCTTTTCCCTGGGCCTTCTCCTGACTGAGTGTGATTCGGCTCGAGGCTGTGGTAACCACCGACTGGAGGCATGACAATGATCCCAACCCCTCTCCTGAGCTGGGTCCCCACCATGGACTCCCTTTGCTGCTCCCTCGTGCTGCTCAGCACTTCTCCCATCCACCCATCCCACCCCACCTCCCTACCCCCACCCTGGCTTCTGAGCACGGTCCTCGTGCCCAGCCCCCTTCCTGGGACCCTGGAGCGGGAAGGGCGCCACCGGTCCAGCATTTGGGGGTGATGGATGGCCGCCAGAACGGGGACACCCACGGAATGGTTGCCTAGGAAGGGACAGTGCATGCCATTGACTGTTGTTGGGTGGGGTTCAGGGATAAAAGTGCCGCGTGCAGCAGTGGTTATGTGGATTTTCAAGAAACCCATGCAGTTAGGTTCAAGGGAGAAAGTGGTGTCCTGAGGAAAACACCTTTGGCCTACATCAGGTCGTCATCGCAAATGGCAGGGACTCAATAACCATTTTGGAAGAGGTTGATTTTGTTTTGTTTTGTTTTTAAGAAAGCCCAGGGCAGTCTTCAACTCCTAGCAGCGATGGCCTTGAACTCCGACCCTCCTGCCTCTACTCCCCCCACCCAAGACCTGGTATTACAGGCACACGCTACCACACTCAGTCAGTTTTGGGTTTTTTAAGACAGTCACCAGTTGCCCCGACTGGCCTGGAACCCACAGCAATCCTGCTATCTTAGACGCCTAACTGCTTGGATTACAGAAATGAGTCCGCAGGCATGGTTCAGTAAATGTTTATTAAACTAATGGAGTCCAAGAAAAATACCTAATAAGCAGGTGATACAGGCCAGGAAGGATAGCAAATTCAAGGCTAGCCCTTACTATTTATCAAGACCTTGTCTCAAAAAAAGGGGGGTAATGGAGGAGAACATTTGGTTAGCATGTGTTTATAAGGTCCTAGGTTCAATGCCTTTTTGTTTGTTTGTTTGTTTGTGGTTTTGTTTTTCTAGACAGGATTTCTCTGTGTCCCCCTGGCTGTCCTGGAACTCCCTCAATAGACCAGGTTGGCCGCCTCTGCCTCCCAAATGCTGGGACTAAAGGCATGTGCCCCCACCGCCCAACCCAATAACCATTTTGTAAAAGCAGATCCCCTCTAGTGAAAATGGGATAGGAAATCCCTTGAGAATAATATTGTGCCTGAGGAGTACAGAAACAAAGCTGGCCTTGGTGACAGACACCTTTAACCCCTGCACTCTGGAAGCAGGAGCAGATGGGTCTCTATGAGTTTAAGTCCAACCTGGTCTACACCGTGTTCCAGTCCAGCCAGGAATACACACATAGTGAGGGCTTGTCTCAAAAATAATTAATTAACTAATTGATTATTTTTAAAAAATCGGGGCTGAGGAGAAGGCTCAGTCAATAGTGCCTTGGGCACATGCCCGAGTACCTGAGTTCAGGTCCCCCCATTAAAAGCTGGGTGCAGGGGCTGGAGAGATGGCTCAGAGGTTAAGAGCATTGCCTGCTCTTACAAAGGTCCTGAGTTCAATTCCCAGCAACCACATGATGGCTCACAACCATCTGTAATGAGGTCTGGTGCCCTCCTCTGGCCTGCACTACAGACAGAATATTGTATACATAATAAATAAATAAATATTAAAAGCTGGGTGCAATGACCTGCCTGTAACCCTACCACTAGGGATGGGAGCTGCAACAGGTGGATCTCTAAAGCTCATTGGCCAGCCAGTCTAGCTAAAGCTGTGAGCTTCAGATTCAGTAAGATGGCCCTGCCTGGGGGAAAAAAATCAAAGTGGAACACAATGGACAAAAGCTATCTAACAATGTCGACCTCTGGACTCCACACATAGGTGCATGAATCCACGCACACACTCCTAAAACCCACGCCCGATCATAGTGATGGCATACAAAGAGCAGAAGGACATGACTAGCACAGGTGGGGCTGAGGACTGAGTAGCCACGTAAGAATGTTTTTAAGGACCGGATAAATGCAAAGAGGTACGATGGCGGGTGTTGAAGAGGATGCCCGGAAACCTGTTTGGGAGGATAAGCATCCTTGAGAGCTCTGGGAGGGCAAACATATCTATGCCTGAAGCTGGCATTCAGCACGACAAAAGAGGAGGATGTTTGTGTTGAGCAAATACTTGAGAAAGAAGAGAGTAGTTTCTGGGAAAGGAGAGTCTATGAGAAAGGTTATGGGCTGAAGAGAGGCGAAGCAGGGAGAAAGCTGGGTCCTGAGAGGGACAAGATGAATGAGCACAGATGTGGCTTCCCAAAAGCAGAAGGGCTGGTTAGGACAGAGCCTATGTGACTGTCCTGAGCCACCGCTCCTGCTCTAGATCCATGGACCCCAGTGAAGCACCTGCTCTCCAGCACTGCTCTGCTGACTGTTCCCCGGGGAGTGAGGACAGAGTCCCCCAGAGCACAGAGCTCATTCCCAGGAGACCTGTCAGTCGCTCTCCGACCTGTGCCCGCTGTCGGAACCATGGAGTCACAGCTCATCTCAAGGGCCACAAGCGCCTCTGCCTCTTTCAGGCTTGCGAGTGTCACAAATGTGTCCTTATCCTGTGAGTATAAGGTTTGGGCGGGGGAAGGGGAATGGCTCTCCGCCAGAAGGCTGACGTCTGACTCTTAGGGAACGACGGAGAGTCATGGCTGCCCAAGTGGCCTTGCGTAGGCAGCAGGAGGCTCAGCTAAAGAGGCACCTGGCTCAGGGCCTGATGAAAGGGACAACCCCTCTGAAAGCTCCCCTCCGTGTCAAGAAGGGAGCCATTCGACCAGGGGTCCCTTGTGAGTGTCTCTGGCTGGGGATGGGACAGGGATTTGGGTATAGTAAGAGTAAGGACTTGCATCCCTGGCCTTAAACTCAGTCAGCATGTGGCCTTGGGCAAGGTGTTTCCTCTCTCTGGGCCTCATCCTGTCCAACTGTCTGTCAACTGTACTGAAGGGCCTGGGGATGTGAGGGAGCAGTCAAGAGCGCCAGAGCGGGCCGCTGGCTCTCCAGGCAGCTCACCACATCTGTAGAGCGGCTCCAGAACCTATCGCCTTTTGGCTCAGCAGATACCGTGCACAGATGGGGCACAGACATACATGCAGGCAAAACACTCATAAGAATAAATAAAATTTTATTTTAAAATGTGGGCAAGGGTGCAGTGACAACTGAAGATAGAAAATGGGGGATGGGAACAGTGGGGTGGGTCAGTGTAAAGGTACTTGCTAAACAAACCTGGTGACCTGAGCTTGATCCTCAGAGCCTACATAAAGGTCAAAGGAGAGAACTGACTCCCCAGAATTGCCCTGTGGCCTACACACACACACACACACACACACACACACACACACACCATGTCACACAAACAAGAAGTTAAAAAGAGAGCCGAGGAGTGGGGCATGGTGAGCATGTCTGTAACTCCAGCCCTGGAGAAAGAAGAGGAGAGTGAGTTGGAAGCCAACCTGAGCTACCAAACTAGATGCTGTCTTGAGGAGAAGGTGGAAGGGCTGGGAAAGAGAAGCAAAGCCACAGAACAGACCGGGGCATGATAGCATATGGAGGAAGGAGGATCAGGGATTCAAAGTCAGCCTGAGCTACATGGAAAAAAAAAAGAATAAAGAAATCAGAGAGAGAAACGAGAACTTAGCTGAAGTTGGGATAGGATAGGGGTCAGGAAAGGGGTGAATCTCTCCCTGGTTCCTCACAGCTGGAAAGGAGAACATAGCACCCCAGCCTCAGAGTCCCCATGGAGCAGTCCCACTGGTGCTGACACCCCCTGGGAAGGTAAGGAGACGGGGTCCTGAGGGATGGCTCCTCGCCTGCCTCCTGCCTGGACTGTCCCCTCTGTGCTCTCTGCACTGGCTTCCACTGACTTGTCGTTGCTCTTCAGTGACTCACCTGGGACCTATGGGAGAAAAAAGATGGGACTTTAAGAGCTGCCCATAGCTTCGGGTCCTGCCCTCATCCTGGAGCATGCTTGCTTCTGCAGGCTCATGCCCCTGCCCTGGGCCCTCTCCCCTTACAGGAGAACTATGGGCCTCTGCTGCTCAGCCGCCCCCAGGAAGCTTTGCCTTTGCCCTGGACTCCAGTGCCTCCTGGGCCTTGGGGCCCTGGACACTGGCTGCCACCAGGCCTCTCAATGCCACCTCCAGTAGTGTGCCGCCTGCTGTGCCAGGAGCCTGCTGTCCCTCTGCATCCCTTCCCTGGTAAGACATCCTCCTGGTACTCGACAGATATCTGAATGCTAGGTTGCCGCCACAGCAGAAAAGGGAGAGGAAACGGACATGTGGGAAGAGGAAGGACATCCACGGTCTCTGCGCCCATCCTTTCTGCTTCTCTTGCCCTCCGTAGGCTTTGACCCTGGCACGTCTCTCCGGCTGCCCACTCATGGAACCCTCCCAACCTGCCCAGGATCTCGCTCAGTGCTGGCAGCTCCACTTTCTGGAGAGCCCCAAGGACCCCCTAACCTGCCTCACACGTAAGTAGGAACACAACAGAAGAAAATTCCTAGCCAAGTGTGATGGCGCACAGCTGTAATCCCAGCACTGGGAGGTTGAGCCAGAAATGGCAGGGTTCCAGGGTAATTTTCAGCTACACTACACAAAGTCAGCCTGGGCTACATAAAATTCTTAACTTAAAAAAAAGAGGGGGGCTGGAGAGATGGCTCAGTGGTTAAGAGTATTGCCTGCTCTTCCAATGGTCCTGAGTTCAATTCCCAGCAACCACATGGTGGCTCACAACCATCTGTAATGAGGGCTGGTGCCCTCTTTTGGCCTGCAAGCATACACGCAGAAAGAATATTGTATACATAATAAATAAATAAAATATTTAAAAAAAAAAAAAGGAAAAGGGTCTCAGACTAACTCAAGCTAACAGGCAGGCAGATCTCAACTGTTCTACTGTTTCCTGAGAGGCACTGACAATATTCGCACCTCTCAGAGCCTGTTTTAATATCAGTAATTTCTAGTAATCTCTTGTCTGGGGTTGTCATAATAATAACACCTAGTACGTGCCCTGACCTTGAACAATATGGCTAAAAGCTGGACTGGAGAAAGCAGGCTAGTGAAGCAGACAAGAATCCCAGTCCCCCTGGGTGTTTTATCTGCTTTTGGAAACCTGACACCATTGGTTCTCTATGATCTTCACAGTAGTGTGGGAGGAGAAACCTGGGCGAGATTCTCATTTTATAGAAAGCAAAGCCCACGGAGTCCAGTGGCCAGCCTGGAACTTTTTCCCCAGGTCAGAATGCCCCACCCACTTCCCATGTGTCTCTCCTTTTTCCAGATGTTCAACTCTGATACTCCAGTCCTGCGGAGCCCCAGACTCTCTCCTGCTACAGCCACAGGTCTTGGCAAAGAAATGGTCTCCATGGGCCTGGGGGGAGGCTGGACCTGCAGAAGGGGAAAGCAGGTGGCTGAAGGAAGCACTTGCAGGGTGTGTGGATGTGAGGGTTCCCAGTCTGATACTCCCCGCTCCTTCGCAGGCCCCTGGAACCTCTTGCCTGGCCTGGACATCTGGCCCCTCAGAGCGGCAGTTACAGCGAGAGGCAGCTGAGGCCCTTGTAGGTCTGAAAGATTCATCCCAGGCTCCCCGCCTGACCCCATCTGTCCCCCCAAACCCTGCCTGGATCTCTCTGCTCCACCCCTGTGGCCCACCAGGTAACTTCCTGGGAAGAGAGAATGAAATAAGATTGGTTGGTAAATGGAAGCCATTAGAATAAGCAGAGGCTAACCAAGATGGCCCAGACATGAGCTGAATGTCCTCAGGTTCAGGTCCCTAAGTTCTCAGCCTGGCCTCTGAGACTGTGGTTGACGTCACTCTTTACCAGTTTTGTTCTAAATGGCAAATTTCCAGTGTCTTGCTATCAAGGAAAACCAGGCTCTTGGTGTAGACTTTCCAGGCTGGCATTTAGAAAGACACTGCAGAGCCTGGTCTCCAGACCCTAGCTTCCTGCTCAAGCCTGGGAAGGGAGAGCAGTAACCAGGGTCTGGACTAGAAAGGCTGATAAACTGCCTCCCAAGAGCTTCCATTCCGCTGGGGAACCTAGAGACCCTCACAAGCTTCAGTGGCAAGACTAGGAGAAATGTGAAGAAGGAGAAAGTTCCAGGGAACAAGCGGTGAAGGCTGAGAATGCCCCTGTCCAATGCAGTGTTGTCTAGAGGGTCTGCTGGAAATGGGAGGGATGAGGCTGGGGTCTTCTGAGTATAGAGATGTGGCTTTTGAGTCTGGACCAGAGCTGTACAAAGGGGACCAGGGCAATGTTCAGAGCCAGACAAAGCATGATAGCTTTGGTGTGGGCTGGAGAGGCAGGCATAGACCACGGAAGGAGTGAGGGGCAGTGGGTTGGATTTGACCCGAGCCTGCCAGTTCCTGTCTGCCACAGCTCCTCCTGGGGGAAGAGGATTCCAGCCTGTCGGCCCACCTCTCAGGCCCAGTCCAGCTTCCTCTGTCTCTCTGCACATTGGGCGTCTGGGATCCATCTCCCTCCTCAGCTAGAAACCAAGATGGAGGCTGCCTCACTAGGACAAAGAGACGACAAACTGCAGGCACTGCATATTTGGTATTTTATTTATGCATTTTGCATAGGATTTAATGTAATGCAAGCTTCAGCCTTTTTTTAAAGCTTTCCAGTTCCTTTTGTAGTGTGGGTATTTCCTTGCCTGGAGGTGGATGTTCTCATAGCCCTTTTTAAGTCCCTCAATGGAGGCAGCTGGGCAGTTGGAGGACCCATATCTAAATACATTTTTGCATGAGTTTATGTTCTATATATGCCTATATGCTCACGTCTGTCTCTGCATGTAAAAATACAAGAATATGTTCACATTGTATGTAGTTTTCTGTAAGAAATAAACCTTTGCTGTTTAAGCCATCAAGATACAGAGTTTACCCTGATTGACAGGACTATTTGACTCCCATCTCAAAATAGAAGTCATCTACTTAATAACTACCACAGACCTAGGCACTGTAATCCCAGCACTCACTGGCCGAGGTAGGATCGCTTATGACATATCTATAAGCAACAACAAAGTAAAAAAACATAAACTTGGACTTCTAGTTATGCCCTCATAAGAATAACAGAGAGGGGATAGAGAGGTGGCTCAGTGGTTAAGAGCATGGGCTGCTCTTCCAGAGGATCCAGGTTCAATTCCCAGCACCTACATGGCAGCTCACAGCTGTCTGTAACTCCTGTTCCAGAGGATCCCACACCTCACCTAGACATGCATGTGGAAGAGTAGCAGAGGAAGGTGCTGGGGAATCACTAATGCGGTGATTAATCCACTGCTCTGTACCAAGTATACCCTGTTTCCTGCTAGCCAGAGAGCCACAGATTAAGATGACACCTAACTGGGGCAGGGAGACCAAATAAAGGAGTGAAGACAGCCCAGTGGAGACTGGGAAACAGATTGTATGTCTTACCTACAGGCAGTCTTCTCTAGCCTCGTGGATAATTCCCGGCAGAAACCTGGCCTCAGTGTTGCCACATCCTCTGGTTTTTCGAGGGAAATTAGGGAACTGTGTTTCTGTGTCCAACATCTTATAGTAATTCTCAAACATTGGTATAGCCTTCTTTAAATGTTATATTGGCCAGATAACATAGCTTACAGTCAACTTTGGCCAATAGAATACTAATTTGATACTAATCTAACATGACATTTTCCGGATGGGAAAATTGAAGCCAAGCAGGACAGCAAGAACCAAGTTAGTTTTTATCAAGGATCTTCCTAACTAGGAAGATTCACTGTTTTCTTAAAATAATCCATTAGAGGGGCCAGGCCTGTAGTGCAGTGGCACAGTGCTGCCGGAACGATGAGGCCCGGGGTCAGTACCCGGCGTCTCACACAATATATCAACCAGCAAATGCAAGACTTGGTCAAAAACTAGAGAATGCTTTCTAATTGTTGAGTCCCAACAGCAACTCTGTAATCTATACTAAAAAGGGAAAGTATTAGCCCAGCAGGTCAAGGGAATTCTCCAGAAAACAATCTAAATTCCTCCTTGTTGCTAGGCCTTGACATTTTATAAAGCACGGAATGAAGGATTTGAGGCTACAGGGAACACACATCCGGCGGAAGCAGTTCTCACAAGTGTCTCTCCCTTTTTCTACCAAAGTTGTCATTGTATAATGTTTTGGGTTGGTGTCCTCATTTGCCTTCCATTGCTGTGATAAACACCATGACCAAAGTAACTTGAAGAGAGGCTACTTGACTGACATGTCTGAACCTCAGTCAGTCTCTGAAGGAAGTCAGAGCAGGAGCCTGGAGGCAGGTTCTGAAGCAGAGGCTATGGAGGGGCACTGCTCACTGACTTGTTCATCATGATGTGTCCAGTCTACTTTATTTTAAATTGTTTGTTTTTATTTTATGTGCATTGGTGTTTTGCCTGCATGTATGTCTGTGTGAAGGTGTACCGATCTTAGAATTACAAACAGTTGTTAGCTGACGTGTGGGTGCTGGGAATTGAACTCGGGTCCTCTGGAAGAGGAGCCAGTGCTCTTAACTGCTGAGCCATCTCTCCAGTCCCTCAGTCTGCTTTCTTACACACGAGGACCACCTGCCCAGGGTTAGGAACACACACAGTAGGCTGGGCCCTCCCACTTCAATAATTACTTAAGAAGCTGCCCCAAGGACTTGCTGCAGATCAGCCTGATGGGGCCATTTTCTGAACTGAGGGACCTTCTTCCCAGATGACTCCAGCTTGTGTCAAGTTGACAAATAACTGGTACAACTGACCCCTTGTCAACTTGACGCACACACACACGCCACTATTTAACAATTTCCTTTCTTGCTTATCCTCAAGATCTCATGTTAATATTAATATCACAGTGCAAAACACAGTCCAATTTGTTTGTTTGTTTTGCAAAACAGGGTTTTTCTGTGTAGCCCTGACTGCCCTGGGTCTCACTCTGTAGACCAGGCTGGCCTCAAACTCAGAAATCCACCTACCTCTGCCTCCTGAGTGCTGAGTTTAAAGATGTAAGCCACCACACCTGGCATACAGTCTATTTAAAGACTTTTTTTTCTTGTTTATGTGCAATGGTCTTTTGCCTGCCTTTATGTCTGTGCACTGTGTGCATGCAGTACCCAAGGATGCCAGAAGAGGATATCGGTTCCTCTGGACCTGGAATTAGAGTTGGCTGTGAGCTGCTGTGTGGGTGCTAGGAATTGAACTCCGGGATCTTCTGAAACTGCAGCCAATGTGCTTAACTGTACCAGTTCTCCAGGCCCCATTGGTTGGATTTGAGATAGGAGCTAGCTCTAGCCTGGTTGACTTCAAACACATTTTGTGAGCCAGGCTAGCTTCAAATTCGTGGCACTCTTCCTACCCCAGCTTACTGAGTACTGGAATTACAAGGTCCCTATAAGCCACCAGACCCAGCTAATAACAGAGCATCTGTTTGCTAGTCCTTGGCTGTGGAGCCCTCTTGGAGTCCTTGCAAACAGGACCCCTGGTGAGCTATTGCAGCACTAGGAAGACGTGGGGTGCCTGTCCTTCCTCCTGTGGGTGGGGAGCTCAGAGCTCAGCAACATACCTGATAACTGACTGTTCTTCTGGCATTACCTGCATCACTCTTTTTACTCAAGATGATGAATGATGGTGGGACCCAACAACACCCTGTTCTCTTAATTCGAGGCCTTGAGAAGATGGGCTATTCCTTCTCCACAGCAGACTGCAGAATAAAGAACTGCAGCACTAATCGGGGACACTGTAAGAGAACAAAAGACTACAGCCAGCCTCACACCTTTTGTCCCTCCCTAGTTATAACTTAGATATACGATTGCCCTTTAATAGACCTGCCTAAGCCTGGCTAGCAGTGCCTAGTTCTTCCAGTGACAGATGACTGAGCCCAAGAGTCACAGAGCAACGGGGAAGCGCTGAAAACGCACCTCTCTAAGACGGTGCTGCTAGGGCTGACCAAGGTCACACAGCCAAAAAAGATAAAAGAAAAGGGTGGTGTAAAAAAGGAACAGGACACAGGGTAGTGACAGGAGAGCCACAGTGGGAAGGCTCAGGGGGAAAGTGCTGGCTACTGTGACCAAGGAAGCTGGAAGGTGAGAACAGCTCCAGGACGTTTGTTATCCTCTGACCTCCACACTGCTGCACGGACCTGACACACACACACACACACACACACACACACACACACACACATCCGCTAGCTAATTAAAAGAAAAAGAAGCTGATTATACTAGTGTAACTCAGCAGTTAGCTGGGGCATACATCTTTTAAATAAATTAATGAATGGCAGGGAAGGGAGCAGAGAGGAGGCCAACCAATCATTCAAGTCATGTGAACCCCCAAACGCTCCCTAAGGAAGTGCTGCAAATCTGCAGAGGTCAGCCTTGAGAACAGGGAAGACTTAAGAATTTAGCTTTGTGTGGTGACCCATGCTTTTCATCCTCACACTCCCTCCTTCCGGGAGGAAGAAGCAGGTGGACCTCTATGAGTTCGCAGCCAGCCTGGTCTATACAGTCCCGGGCTAGCCAGGGTTACATACTGAGACTGTGCTGAAAGCTGGGCATGGTCTCGTGTGCGCACACGCGTGCATGTGCACACACACACACACACACACACACACACACTCACACACACGAACTGCTCTCGTTTTCATTTTCCAACTCCCTTCACCTGCTGCTGAGGAGGCACCAGGGTCCTGGCCCTAAGCATCCCTGAAGTTTCGGCCAGTGGACTGTGAACACCGGTTTCCTGTCCTGCTCCCTAAGGTTGCCTGATCTGAGCTTTTGTCTCAACCTCTCTTAATACTCTACAGAAATGACAATAAGTTTCCAACCAGGAAGTGCCCTCCTCGCTCTTCTCCACACAAGACTCCTCCCCACAACAGCCCTGGTTTTGTTTCAAGGGCACATTTCACATTCTGTCCTTTGACTATCCATATTCTGGTCACTCTAGCCCTACAGGAACCTGACCTGCTTCTGACCACACTTATAGTCCAGGCAGGAAAATGACCTCATGACACCTACTCCATCCTCATTCCTGGTTCGCGTAGACTCATCTCTTAACCCGTCTGCTTGCGTAGCTAGCTTTGCAACCCTATGCTCAAGCTCCATAGCAGGCAACCATGCCTGTGTAGACTCTCATGGGATCCGGAGCTCAAGCTCCATAGCAGGCAACCATGCCTGTGTAGACCCTCATGGGATCCGGAGCTCAAGCTCCATAGCAGGCAACCATGCCTGTGTAGACCCTCATGGGATCCGGAGCTCAAGCTCCATAGCAGGCAACCATGCCTGTGTAGACCCTCATGGGATCCGGAGCTTTTCCCAAAAGCACGATCTATCTTTTATCCCACCAATACCTGTGTTAAGCTTTTCAGACCTTTATGTTCCCTGGAGGTACAGACTTGATCATGCTAAGCTGTGCTAGTATCACTGTATTAGTGTCCATCTATGTCCCCAACCCCCAGAATAGTTATCCAAAGAGGACAGGCCTATTGTGGACTTCCTCTCTGGGGCACTCAAAATGAATGGCCGACTAAACAG